ATAAGAGCGCCGTATTTTGTTGATACATTATCCAAACTATTCGATGCAAAAATTCTTAGGGAGATTTTTTCGATTTTTCTTTGCGCCAGTATATATAATATATATAGAGAGAATACAACATGATAACAGAGGAGAGAACAAATATGCACTCCCAAAAGTTATTTTAGTCCCATTTTAAAGTTATTAACCCGAAGCGTAGTCACTATCTATTTCAACAACTGCTTCCCATTTGCTTGGAAGACGGTTGATTCTACGGGCAAAGAATTCACAGTAAAATGATTTCCGAATGAATTATTCCACTTCTGTCCCACTAAACATGCCACATTGCCTTCTTACAACGCACGTCCTTCTTTTTCATTTTTTCGGGAAAATCCTGCTAAAAGGGCCTTTTTTCTTTGGTTCTTCAGCAAATCATGATTCATCCCCAAAAGACAAGATCCTTCTAAAAGGACTCCGCTCGTTTATTTGAAGCAAATCGGTGAAAATTTGGACACGTTCGACTGTTGTCACTCTGAGTTCGTGGGGGAAACATCCAGCCAGTTTCCATACCTTTCTAAGATTTTTGAGATGACGAACTATGGTTGAATGGTCCACATTGAAGTTGGCAGCCAGCATTGAAGTTGTCAATCTTTCGTCACCTTCCACGACTACCAAAAGTAGCTGGTCGTCCTCTTCAATGCTTATCTTCCAAGCTAGTGTGTCGCCAGATTTGAAATTGGCAAACCATTCCATGCATCGACATTTGTTGATTGTGCCTTCATCGAAAAAGTTCGTTGCAATCGTGAAATGACTGTGCGCAACCTTCCATACTTTCTCAAAGTGATACAGCATAAGATGACAAATATGAGTGGGATTATCGACATGCATTTTTGTAGCCTAAAAGTAGATGGATATTTTCATTCATAAATTTATAAATATTATAAATTTTTATTGAAAAATAGCCTTTTATAGAAAAGAAACACCTATAACTATGCTTCAACCCAATAAAATAGCTGATATTTTTCTACCATTTTTTATCACTGTATGTTTAATTAAGCTTCAACTATATAAATGATAAAAATTTGACCTAAAAATCAATAGAATGTTTTGCTACAGTCATCATGCCTGCTTGGGTTTCATTTAATTGAATGAAAAATATTAAACATATATTTTAAAACTAGTTCAAAAACCTGTCTCATAAAATAAACGCTGAAAACAAGAAAGATCGTGTTTTAAATAAAATATTGTTGAGTTAAATATTTATTTTAAACTCTGACACAATTATCGAAGAAATTTTTTTTTCTTTCATTTATTTATTTTCCTCAGGGGGCTCACCTTCTTTAGGTGAGTACGGGTTTAACGCTCTCGAGGTGCCCTAGTGATATTTTCCTTTTCCCAAGGGGTTTACTGTCTTTGGTAAACACGGATGTCACGTACTCGGGGTTACCCTAGTGATCCTTCTCTATTTTCGACCCTCCTTCTTGTCATTCAATTTTCTCTTTTCTTCTTTTCACGTCTAGATCACAGATATGTAATGTTTGGCGCAGCATAGCTAGAATTGGCTCTTACGCCTAAAAAAAAAACCCTCAAACTTAAACGAAGAAATTTTTTTGTCTGTATATTCCACGTCCCATAACTTAACGATTTTTATAATTTTGATAGAAAAATGGAATAATGATTGGATTTGACATTGGAAATTGGATTGGAAATTATTATAAAATGAAGTACTATTGGAAAAATCACTAAAGTGAAACTAATCGTAGTGAAAAGGTTACGTAATTAAAATTATTCGCAAATTTTCAATACTTAAATAACAAAAACATTTTGCATTGCGTTTTTTCTGTTTAAAGAATGGGTTTTTTTTCTTTTTTAAGAGAAGAAGAGCATAAGCCCATATCTAAAAAAATTCAGAATGATTAAACAAACATTGTTTACGTAAAAAACGCTTCATTGCACTATTGGCATTTAAATAAAATAAAATCATTTTGTCAAATCTAATTTTTTTTCTAAAAAAATTTCTTAGTAAAATTGTGATTATTACGATTATTTTGTTTACATCCCCGCATTTATTTATGTTTAAAAGCAGCAAAGCTAATTTAAAATTATTTATAGTTCTATTTGCTAAGTACTTTCTGATTGGTTAAGACGTAGACGCACAGAAGAGAGGGAGAGAGATTGTGTTGGAAAAATTGAAAAAACTTTCCCCTAAAAGAGATATAATACAAAAACCTTGGAACTTAAGGTATCCGACTACGTTCGGAACCGTGATTTTAAAAAAGCGCATAAATGTATAATTTGCATGATTTTTAGTGTCACTTAGATTAGAATACATGTATAAAATTGTTTTATGAACATTTTGACAAAAAAAATTATTTAAATACAATATTTCGGCAAAAAATTAACTTAGAATAAACTTTTTTTCAAAATGTTCTCCTTTTGTGAAGAATGCTTTTATTATAATAATATTTTGTCTGTATATAGCTCAAACCTCTATACAGAGGATCAACTATGAGTTTTGAAAAATTCACATCATCTTCAGAGTTACAACCAAATGAAATAATTATCGGGCTTTTTTTAAAACTTTTCTTTTCTATTGTCGTAAAAACATGGATAAACCAAATTCTAAGTTATATATTTCAAAAATTCTAGTTGAGCCTCTGTACAGAGGTGTGAGCTATATACAGGCAACATATTAATATAATAGAAGCTTTTTTTCAAAAAGGAGAATATTTTAAAAATGGGTCATTCTATTTCATTCTTTTTCAAAATATTTCTTAAAAAATTTTTTTATTGTAATACTATTCTTAAAACAATTTTTAATACATTTTCTAATCTAAGTGACACTAAATATTATAAATATTATTTCTTTATACACTTTTTCAAAATCACGGTTCCGAACGTATTCCGATACCTTAAGAACTCGTTTTTTTAACAAGTCACAAAGGACACATGTTATTTTTTGAATAGTTTCATGGGAGTTGATACATTTTTTTTTGCCATTAATATGATTTTTTCATGTATTTTTTTATTACATACAATGGAAATAAAATCAGCTTCGAAATGGAAAGCTGTCTTTTAAGTTTTTTTTTTTTTTATTTTTAGAAAATTTAATTCTTTGAGAATTTTTAAATGTGACAACCAAATTGATGTACAGTGAAATACGCTTAAGACGGAACATCAGTTTACATCAAATAATGCAACAACCCGACAAACTACTATATATTTTCATGAATTTTTTTTCTTAACACCAAACGAAAATCACTTAACTCAAAAATATTTTCCTTCTGTGTAAGAAGGTTATTGAAACTAAACCGACACTTCATGAAATTTTTGGAAAAATTTTCTGTATTATTGAACTGTTCTTCTGTATCATTGGAAGAATTCGTGTCAATAGAATACTATATTGCGTGTCAAAGCCCCAATTTCAGCAAAAAATTTTGAAATTTGTTCAAAGCTCAAAAAAAATCAGATGAGATTCGAGAAAAAAAAGGGAAAAAAATAATTCAGCTCCTTTCCCCGTCATCAAAAGAGGAACCCATGAAATGTTTGCGCAGTCATTTAGACGCACATTCCAATGGTGAAATAAATAACAAAATGGACGTCATCACACAATTTGTTGCCAATTTAATACTATTATTAATACAAATAATATAAAAAATTTTATAGTCAATTCCTACTTAGGTTAACAAAGAAAAATTTTATTTTAGTTACTTTTTATTAAATAATTATACCCTATATATAAAACATACATATATACATGAGAGACAGAATCACAAATATTAAGTGAGATATAAAAGCTGCTTTTTTTCCATTCTATATATGTATTGACTATTATTTTGTTTGTAACTACTATCCCTTAATTAAATAAAAATAATACATATATTTATATGGTATATACAGTCAAATACAATAGCGAATCTCTATATTGCGAATTTTTCTATATAGCAAACTTTTTCCTGTAACCTTGCACACATTTCATGTATTTCTTTCGTGAAAAATAACCTCTCTATAGAGAAGTGCATTTTCTTATGTAACGAAATTTTTCTGCTCGTGATTCAATTCTTGGTTTGTTCTTTTAATGTATTTGAAAACTTGCTATTCTCTTTAATACATTTTATGGTGGTCATAAATCTTTAACTGGTTTTATTAGATCCTAACTCGCCGAGAGCAATAGAGTTCTGACGTTTCATCCAAGAAGTAACCTTTTAACCCCCATTGCTTAGTTCACTAGAAAATCTTCGATATCCTTCTTTTCACCCTCAGTGGAGTTGTCCCTGTTCCGTGTTCTAATTATACAAAAATCGTATGCTAATATTACACTTGTATGCTTTTAAATTATAAAATGTCCTTTAAAATTCATTAATTTGTAGTACAAAATTATTTTTTTAATATTGAAAAATACAGTGAATTCTTTCATACCTTATTTCTTTTGTTCTTTTCTTTTCTTTTTTTGATGGGTAAGATATATAAAAATCAACATATATTAATTAAAAAATGTGAATAATTACCTTTTTAATATATAGTGTTTACAATTTAAAATTTATTTCATGAGGTTTATATAAAGTATATTAAAAGATGAACCTCTATATAAGGAATTTTTCCATATAACGATCTTTTTCCGAGAGATTTAGTGAATTTTCACTAGCAAGGTCCGATTGTATATATATTAAAATTAATCTTTCATTAAATACTTTCTATTCATCCATTCAAGCTTAAATGGCTACTTTTAAAATCTTTTAGTGAAATATATTTGATAGCACATGTTTTTTTTCACTAATAATTATCTATTAATTAAAATGAATAAAGTAAAAATAATAGTCTAAATTGAGCATATATGGAAAGCGGTAACCGTTCCTTTGTGTTCCTGTGCAAATGGGATAGCACGTTGACTTCTAATCCAAATGTCGTTGGTTTTGGTATTTTATTGAATATATTATCGTGGTATTTTATTGGAATAATTAAATTAAAAAATTATTCCAATAAAAATAGTACAATAAAAAGAAATCACGTTTCAGAAATAAGGTACCCAGGAGGGATTCGAAAACCCACGACCTTTTTGAATTGTAGGTCCAACACGCTATCCCATTGCGCTACAGAGACACAACGAACGATTTTCTTTTATATGCTGTTGACTATTGGTTTTAAGCTTGTTGCTATTTATTCATTTTGTGCGTGTAGAATGAAATTACACTGAAAAACTGTGGTATTGAATATCAATGTCATCCATTATGCTTTTAAAAATGTATTTGAACCTTGTTCATTTTAAATAGAATATATTTAATGAATGGATTGTACTAACAAGATATATATATATATATATATATATATATATATATATATGTATATATATATAGAAGAGTGAACTAATAATAGGAATTGAAAAGACAATGCAAAGGAAAATAATTGGGGTTTGTTTTCTAAAAAACTCACAACAAATATGTTTTGTTTCAAAGGACTTGAGAACATTGCGTATTAAATTTTTATTAAGTTCTTGTGAATGTTTTTGTTTCTACATACTTTTATTAAATAATACATATATACATATGTATGCAACAATGTTCTCTAGTTTTCTTTAATTTTTGAATATATGCTTTTTCTTTTTTTTTCTTTTTTGCAATATTCTTAAGATGAAATTTTAGCAGTACTAAAAAGATATTTCATTTCCTCACTTCGTATAAACAATTTTCACTGTATATAGTTTCTCTAAAGTAATGTTATTAAAGAATGACTAATTTCCAATGTATATATATATTAAAAGCTTTTTTAACACTCTATGTGTTGAATATACTCTATAATGCATTAATACAATTTTTACTTTTTATTCAAATTTAATGGGGATGATTTTAAAATTTTTTCAATGGATTTGATTATATTTTATTAGTTTCTATTACTCATGTTACTGAAACAGAATTGTTGGGTCAAATAAAATACAGAAAGTAATTGTTTCTCATTCAGTTATTATCTAAATATGTGTAAGAGTATGAGGAGAGAAAGTGTGTTTCTGGTTTTAATTTCTAGCTTTTAAATGAAGAATTCATTATAGTTATAAGAATTTTAAAATGGGCTCTTTTCCGCGATAAAGCTGAATGTGATATTATACTTTTGGTATTAAAAACTGCTCATCAGCCCCTAGTTTCTTTTTTAAGAAATATATAAAGTAATGATACAACTACACATTCTCTGTTTTCATTTACGAAGAATGTCAATACATTTAGGTATCATGTATACAATTTTAGTAAAGTTTGAGAAGTAAAAGAGAGCATTTGTTGAACTAATTTATTTAAGTTTTAAGTAATGTGTAAAGGAGTTTTAATTTCTTAAAAACTTTCAGTGGTGTACAATTTAATAATGTATAGCTCTTTCTTATTCAATTCCTACTAATAGTTCACACTTCCCTATATATATATATATATATATATATATATATACATACATATATAGATCTTCAAATTTTCAATCGCTAATAAAATACTTTTTATTCATCCCCACTGAAGTCAAATACATTTTTTTCTCTAATTTGTAGTAGACGCATTAATTTATGCTAATACAGTTTTTTCAAATATGAATTCATTAATTAAATTTTACTTTTTAATTTTAAATTCATTCTGCGTTATTTCTGACGAAGTTACAGCTAACTACAACAGATGGCACCACTCGTTCAATATATTTTTTAAACTTGCAGTGAATGACACTATATTAATACAGTTTTTTCGAATTTTAATTCGTTTATTAAATTTAATTAACTAAAAAATAAAATTTTCCTTTGCTGACCTAAGTAGAAATCGACTTTAAAAATTTGCTTTTTTATGTTATTCGTTTTAATCAAATTTAACTTTACTTAAAAATGGCTTCAGGAAAAAAAATTAAATATTATTTGTTGGTGTTGAACAATTCAGTTTTAATTAAGAGGAAATGAAATAATTTTTATATTTTAGTATTTCTCCCTAAAATAATGAGTGATTTATTTAGATCTTCAAAAATTCAGGAGAATTGTTGACTAAATTGCAATAATCAGATAGTCTCAATCTAATAAGATCGTATGTCAAAATCCTTACTTCTTCCTTTTGCGTGATGAAAACCTTCACAAAAATAGTTTCTCCCGAAGTTCATTTCAACGAGTGTCAGAAATATTTTATTTTTCTTCACACGTTCAGTTATTCTGAATAAGTCATTTCTAGAAAATGTCAATATGTCTTTCAAAAAAGCTTTTTTCTTTGAATTAGATTGAAAAAGTAAAATGACTTGAGTTAACTTTCAGAAAAGCTTTTTTTCTTTTTATTTATTCAAAATAAAGCCTTGATATTACAAGCTAAAAATACATGGATGGTGTTTCAATGAAAATTTGTTTTAGGTTAGTTGATATTTATGGAAATGGTTGGTATAAGAAAGTAATTACTTATTGTATTCGATCAGACGCTTATTTTTATTTATTTGAAGATTATTATAAAGAATGAGAGAATCTGTTTTGTATTTATGCTTAGAACATAATTAAAATGTATCTGAATTCTGTACATGAACCGTCTGATGAGCCATTTTTATCTTTAACCAAGGTTAAAAATTGACCTAGTTTCTTTTATAGTATAGATATGGTACTGTATGTAGTATATGCCACATTTAAAAAAAAACGTTATCTTAGATTTAATTAGCGTTCAACAATTTTATACAAATTAGTATTATCGATTTATCAGTTTTTCTTTTAGTATCAATTCTTGTTTAGTTAATTTACTGATATCTATACTTTTTAAACAAAATCTACATTACTAGTTTCCAAATTATAGATATATCAAGAATAGTATAACGGTAAATTCTGGTATCACTCAAGACCCACTGTATAGAGTGAGCCACGCATCGCTAAATAAGCCGAGGCTCAAAGTCCTCACTTTGGTGTGGTGTGAGAGTTTAATGAATAGAAGGTCAGAAGGTGTTCTCATCGTCACTTGTATACCATTCAAAATTACGGAGCCCTTGCTAATATCCTTCATAAGATTAATAAAATATCAATATATATAGAGAGTGACAACGGCCAGATAAAGTTAAATTATACATTTTTTGAGGGCAATTATCTGCAAGGAATAGCTAAAAGTTAATAAAAGTAATGAAAGCATTGTCAAAGATAACACGATGGATTCCAAGAGTAGCGTCCATCTCGTCAGCATCGTCTTTGTCAATCTTTTCGTCTCACCTGTCGCTTACCGCGCTATCGTCCCCATTTCCCGTCGTTTCCCGCTGTATTGTTCTATTGGTCGACAATTCTCGTGTTAACCTCAAACTGCCTTGTCAGCTAGATTGCGCTCGCTCTCTTGGTATTACGTCTGCGAGGAATATAGAGAGAATGCTACTTAGTGTTCAAATTCATTTTTCGTAAAATGTTGCGCGATCCTTACAATAAGCAACTATTTAATAATCAAATAAGAATATAGACATATTTTCGTTAATTATAATACAATGTTTTCGAGTGCACGGGCATGCAATTATATTTCCTCGCAAGTTAGTTTACTTCAAATAGGGAAGGTTCCTTATTCCAATTAGCTTTGTATTAAAAACTGTGCAATAAGTGAGGGATTTTAGAATATTAATTAAAAACCAAGTAGGATTTGATATATATTATTTATTGAGCTTCCACACATCATAGCATCAAACTCAGTTCCATGAGCATTGCAGCTGCTTCTATTATTTTCAATGGAGCTTCTTTGATAAAAAAGTTATGAGAAGTACTGAAAATAACAATAATAATAATTATCTTATAAAATCAACAAAACTAATCAGCATGAAAATGTAAATGATTCCCTTTTTCTTCTATAAAATATAATTGTTTTTCTTTATTTACTTTTTACTTTGTGAAAACGTTCTCCTGTTTTACTGATTTAAACATTAAAAAATAAGTGTTTCTGCCTCAGACAAACAAATGTTCTCTTAAAGATGGGTATTTCTGTAATCACAGATAATTCGAATCACCTCAGTCACCCAAAGTAATTTAAATAATAGAAATTGGAAAGAGATTAACTTTTGTAATTATATTTGTTTATCTCAATTGATAAGAAATATTGATTAATAAATATTGTGAATACTTTTAATTCTAACTTGTTTACAAACAGACAAAAAACAATCAAAATTAAATGAAATTAAAAAAAAAATTATTACTGCTCCTCCAAAATGGAAAAGCAATTAGATTAAATAAAAGTAAAATAAAAGGTTAGAGCAAGCAAGCATTTAAAATAATTAAATCAAGATTGGATAATTTAAAATTTTAAGAAACGCCTTGTACCTTGTACAATTTTTTTGTATTTAAAATCAAACTTTGAAATTTTCATTTAGGTTATATATTTAAATGATCAACGAAATATTAATATAAATTTTATAATGTTGCTTATTTTTATAATTAATTAAGTAAAACTCATTATTTATTTCTTTTAAAGAACTTATCTGTAAAAAGCTATTTGTAACATAATTTTAATTTTAAAATGTATCTAATTAAAATTTTTCATTATATTTTGGGAGAATTTTTTCAATCAAAAGTCACAGACGGACATTAAAACATACTTTTCTAAAAACATTAATTAATCTTTATGCATTCTTCTTTTTGTTTCCATTCAATTGTTTAGTGAAAAATATTTTCTGCTATTTTTCATAATGCAATTTTAGCTTTATATAGTTAATGCTACTTTAAAGCAGTTTTCAGCACATTTTATTCTACTATTTGCATATTTATTCTTTTGACTCATCTTTATGTTTCCATTTTTTATATATATCTACCTATCTTTTGTGAAGCCCAGTCGCTGAGTGCGGTAGTGTATCGCGCTTCCACAATTGCACAGGTATGGGGTTCAAATCCCGCGCTGGGCAAGATCGACTCAGCTCATCCCTTCAGTGGGTCGATAAATGAGCACCAAGCTTGCTTGCGAGTTGAACACCGGGGGTTTCATGTCAGGACTGATCACACTTGGACCGAAACATTCGCACATGCACCCTAGCACCTAAGGCGGTCAACTTAACTGAGATAGCGCAGCCAAACCTTCGCTTAGCCACGCGCACCAATTCAATTCAGTACTTATCTTTATATATATCATATATTTCTTTTTACTATTATTGAAAATATTACT